CCGCGGGTAGTCTCGCCGCACCCGCGCCTCCCTCCCCGCACTTTGCGCCGCCGATCAGCTGATAGAGTCCTCATCACTGCGGGCCGGGGCCGGGCGGCGGGGCCGCGACGAGGTGCGGAGGCGAGCCGAGCCGGGCGGCGGCGCGGGCGCGGGGGCCGCGGGGCGCAAAGGTATGCGCGCGCCGCCGTGTGCCGTGTGCGTCGATGCGGTGCCGGCGCCGGACAGAGCGCACCGGGTTACACTGTGCAGGGGGAGGTGGGCGGCTGCCCTGACCGGGCAGTGGCACTCACTGTACGTAAACGACACACGCGAGAACACTCGAGCCTACACGCCAAGTATTCGAACTTGTGCGCCCGTTACTCGCGGGTGTTGTACTCGCACCCACTCGCCAATATACTCATTCACACGCCAACAGAATCGAGGCGACTCGCCGCAAAAGTCACCCACTCATGCACTCGCGTCTCGCGTGTACATCATCATGATTGGTGGGGGAGAGGGGGGAGCAGGATTCTTCCCCTCACCTCCCCTACACAGCCTCCCTCTGCCAGTGGAGAGCGAGGGGGGCTTGTCCCTGCGGATCGCGAGTTGAATAGGCGGATTCCTCGCCTCGCACCCTCCCCCTCCCCTATTTCACCCCCCGGCCCGCCCCCGGCCGCGCGCTGCACAGGAGGCAAGAGGGATGCGGTGCGTGCGTGCGGCGCGGCACGCTATGGGCTGCAGCTTAGGGCTCCGCGCGAGCCTTACGCCGTTCGCTGTCACGCGTCACGCCCCCGGCTCGGCCCAGACGCGACTTACTGCACGTCGGGCCCCTGCCAAGGCCCCCGGGCCTGCTCGAGGCGAGGGGCAGTAAGTCGTCTGTCCGTCTCAAGGGCGAAGGCGGTGCAGTGTGCACTTTGAGAGCACTTCCGACAGCCCACCGAGCCCACAACCGACGACGGCCTGCAGGCCTGCGAACTATTTAGCACTACTGTCATTCACTGCGGAGGCCCATACCCTCATGTGTAAGCTTCATGTCAACCATGTCCTTTCAGTTTCCCCATACGTGATGGTCTTTTCCTGTCAGTGCAACTTGTCAAATGGTTTGACAACGGGTGGCGGCAGCTTGGGGAGGGGCAAACCTGAAGGTATTGGGGTGAAATGCAGACAAAACTCGTGAGAAATAGTTTGAACTCCAGAAGTTTTCCCAGTTTACTACATAAACGACTAACATGCACTAAAGAAACAGAAAGTTAACTCTGTAAAGTCTAAGCTTGAGAGTGGGTAGAATTGGATAAATGGTTATTTCATCGCTACGTTGCTTGAATCATAGTAGAATATGGCCAACAACAGACTAAAGAAAAGTTGTGTTGGGTAGGGCTCAGACAACCGAAAAGTACGGTTAAGTTGGTAAAGTGTTAGTTAAAACAGCGGCAGACACAACAAAATGGAACGTCAGTGAAACACTGTCGGTATTCAGAGATTATCACTGAAACAAATGTCTATGTGTTCCAGAAAATATAAAGTTGCTAAGTTTACAGAGCCAAGTTCAATATTTTCTTGACATTTGTAAGGCTGTTGCCTCACAGCTGATTGCATGAACCCACAACATTCTAGGAGACACTCAATGTGGGATCAGATTTATTACATGTCAACCAAATAAAACAATATCAACACCCACTCTGAGCAATGTTAAACAAAAATCAATCCAGTAATTGTCAAAATTCTACTTTCATTAGAACTAGAAGGTAGACACTAACCTCTTCTCGTCGCTTGAGCCATCGCCCGCAAGGGCTCTCCTCCAGAATTTCGCTTTCATCCTCAGAGTCTTCTCCAGACTCCCGAGGACTCTGACTACTCTTCTGCTCCGGATCCGCACTCGATCTGCTGCCCGGCATAACGTCTTGACTAAGCTGTTCCCTAGTCAAAGTCGCCTTCGCTCCACAGATCTTCCCACAACACTTCTACGACTTGTCCCTCATATCTAGTCACTATCACCATTGCCACTGGACATCACTGACGCACACTATTGAATGCAAAATCACTTTCTTCTGCTCGGCACTGTTAATCCACTCATGACCCAGGACCTTGGCGAAAATCCATTCGCAGTGGTGGTGAGGGATGAACACCACCGTAATTCTTGCGCGGGGGGTGGAGTTGCGTAGAGTTGCAAGAGGGTGATTTTCAAGGAAGAACACAATAGTTTTGTCGCGATACTCCGAAATGTTAACAAACAACAAAAAGAAAACAAACACACGCTCCGGCGTTAAGAAATTGATCGACAGAAATTATGGAGATGTGTCTCCCTTGATACACGAGTGCTCACTGCCGGGTAGAAAAACGATTTACTCGGGCAGACTCGGCAGACTCGCCTCTCGTTCCTAGAAAACATGACATCACAAATTTGAAGGGTATTACTGATGGTGTACGTTTTACAACTTGCTTAAACTAAATACTAATTATGGAGATGGTAAAAAGCACATCTGATAGTTGCCATGATACGGCTCCGTGAGTAAAGGGTGAAGAAATAATGCCGTTTTCATTGTGAAAGTTGGCACTAGTAAGAGACGAATGATCGCTGGCAGCTAGTGCCATCTCTCGGCAAAACGGTGAACTTCTTCCACAGACTGCGCTAGAGTACTGTTTGTCACCACTCTGACAAACGTAAGGATGTTACTAGATAATCGTGCGACCTCTTTGAAACGACTTCACTCGATACAATAACATTTTGAAACTTTAACAAAAGCTAAAGAAGCTTTTTAATTTGAACGTTCTGTCGTATGGCGCGTTTGGTAGTAGTTAAAGTTGCGATTCCTGCACAAGTAAAGTTGGCAGCAGTGCATTGCCTTCTGGCGCCAGACAACAAATGGATAAGGTGTATGGATCGTTTGCAACTTGGGGAAATTTGCAATTGCAATTGGCCTTTTCTCTTGAAAATTCAACCAGTTGCCAATTTACTGAAGTATGCTTTCTCAGACGGCATGGCCTGTAGTAATAATTTTGTGCCGTAGTATACTTGCAGGAAAATTTTAGCACAAAGTGACTGAACACTTTGAACCATACTCCTCTGAAGGTCAGGGCTTGTTTTAAGACCGACCGACTATAGGCTATGGGTTGCCTGCGTGTAGGCGCATGTTGCCTCCTTTCAGGCGTCAGGACCGACGCGGAGAAAGGAGGTGGGCTCGCCTGCCCTTTAAAACCGCCCTGCTCCCTGCTTAAGGTAAAGTTTACGTTAAGGGATCGCCCACATATGACATGACGCGAATTTACAGACACTTTTTGACCCCTTCTCCCCCCATGTCACAGACCGTCACGCTATCGACCCCCCCTCCCCCCTCTCCCATCCCCATAAGTGCGTGACGTAATATGTGGTGTGGTCAGCGGCGCGGTGTGTCCCAAAATTGGATGATATTTTGACGAATTTTCGTCAACTTATTGATGTATATTTTATTGATGATTTCTCACTGGGGTCTAACACCTTCAATGCTGATCGTTTTCGGTGCCGATGATCAAGCATGGGAGAGTGGCCACATTGTGGTCACGCTAGACAGAATAACGTACATACCCAGTAAGTAATGGTGATATCAACACGATATGAAATCGATATGGATAACAGTGAATTGACCTTGAAGAAGAGGAAACCCCTTCACTGTAAGAATACTTCTTTCTGAGTGTAGCGGATTAAGGAAAGGGGTCAATGAGTCACCACGCTATTTCGCTACACGACTTTTTTTTCCATGCTGGTTTGGTGTTCCGCTCCGATATGATGACAGCAGCTGAGCCTTACTTCCTGCGTGACAGTAACGATCCCAATCTATTTTCATGGTCGTGGGATGTATTATTGGATAGGGCCTTCCCTCGGTGCACTCTTTTGTCATTTCGGTCATGACTGATGGGCGCTGAGGGCCCGTGCCTATGACAGCCTATGGCAGCCTATGGCGGCCCATGGCGTACACGGCGCCCACGTGTTTGCACGCCGGTCTAGGCCCGCCGCTCGCGTGTGCATGTGTCGCTGCCGTCGCGGTCCCTCCCTATCGCGTCAAAGCCGGCCGGCCGGCCCGCGGGCCACCGAGGCTCCAGCATGCTCCGACATAATACGTACTTCTCTAGCCGCAGCTTGCCGGTGCGGACGAAGTCCTTCCCGTA